AAATTGATCTCTCGTAAGGCTTGCAGCGACCCGTTCCGAAAACGCTTAACGTCCTTTAGTGTTGGTCTACTTTGAACAGTGTGTTCGTTTGTATATGATTTCATCGCCCTAGAAATCATCGAATCCGTGATAACTTTCCTCGACGACAACCTCTGTAAATTCCATGTGCTGTACGCATGCACAGGTGGCGCATGCGCTTTAGAGACCAGACGGCGATTTGTGACTGAACGTGGAAAAAAAAAAAGGGAGCCGAAATTTAAACCCAAGCCTCACTGCCTGGGTAAAAAGATCAAAGATAACAATATTGGTTAAAAGCTAACATTTCCACAGACTATGAATACTTGAAGCTTACCTAAAACTGTAAAATTCACTCTCTGTTCAGCAAGAACAGTCCCATCTAATTGTAAACTAAACTCAATCTTGTATATTCCCTCATCTTCTCTCCTGACATCTTTGATATGTAACGTGGCTTCATCATTCCTATCAATCACAATTCGTGGAGATCTGGGTTCCTGATAAGAAGGCACCCCAATAACGTTAAAAAAGCTTTTTGTTGCAATCTGATCATAATTTGAAGTTGACGGATTTAGCTTCTTCCAGAAAATGACAAACAGTGTCTGACTCTGGAGCAGTTCATCAGCAGTGAGGGAGTACTGCCACTGAAATGACACATCTTGTCCTGTTATTGCTGATGTTGGGTTGGTTGGTTGTGCTGTCCAGTTAAATGACTATAGAAAAAAAGTAATAAGTATTACATAATATGAACACCTAACACGAGCATATTGTTACTCTAGCGATGCACATGTATGGTATATTTACTTTTTCACTGGACTTTACAGTGTCATTTCTATTCCGATAAATTACCGGCCAAAATATTAAAAGACAAAGAAAATAAAAGTGAAATACAAACATAGAAACCGGTGTCAACATACTGAGAAATAAAATAGTTTCTTCGTCACGCCAAAAAAATATAGAGTTACTCGCTTGAAAATCATCCTGAAAATCTGGCTCAACTACAACAGTCGCATGAAAGAGTCATTTGTTAAACAAAAGATCACCAAATGTAAACTAATCTTTTGACAGCATCATACAAATCTAAACCTGTGTCAAGCTCATTACCATCGTTATTCTGGTTTAAAAAACCAAACGCCTTTCAAAACTGAACATAAATCTTCAAAAACTCGTTAGTCATCAAAGGTTATTGAAATTAATTTTATGAACACTAAGCAACCAAGGTAAAATCGCTTAAAAGTATAAAACAAATGAAACTCTTTTCTGGAAATGAAATATCTTTTCCAGGCAAAGAAAACGTACTTCCTCCCTGTCAAAGTACTAAAATCTTCACAGCACCAGAAGAATTAATCTCTTTACTAAGAGTTCTTTAAATCACAGAATTATATCTTACACAAAATCTACAAATCGGCGAGCGAGAAATGATGGAGCAGCACTTCTCCCCTATTTTTTTCGCTCGCCGTTTTTCGCGCTGCACCCCAACTAACTGAACGCCTGAAAGAGGCTACGCAAAATCTACATAAACCATTTCCACTCGAAGGTCGGAATCAGTTGTTATTGACATTAAAATCGTTGTCTCAAATTTTCGAAAAGAAACTTACAGCTGTAAATTGTTTGAGATAAATATTACCCAAACGGAGATTATATACAATACTACTTTTTCAACTAGTATTGTTCCAAATAGTCTTAAGGTGGCTCCATAGTGTAATCATTTATGGCATTGCGCATGCTTGTGTTATGTTTTGAATGCTGTTTTTGCGTTCGTTCTTACACCCAGTCCTCTCAAACTTATTAGATGTAACAAGCAATTATGATATATTCATTTACTATGATCTCTTTTAAAATCTTGGCTTTTAATCTTGAATTATAAATGCCAAAAGAATGCTTTTTTTACCGTTTTATGGCTTTACTCGTGATTTTCTTGAATTATTTCCTTCAGTGAAATCTTCCAAAATTTTTAAAGTGCATTGAATCCAGCGGGATACGAATTTTAATCACGAAAAAAGTAGGGTTTGTACTGGCAGGTTTTGACAGTTTTGCAAATTTTTCTTTTACCGCTATAGAGAAACTGGTCACATACATTTCCATTAAAAACGAGTTCCAACTAAAGTAAAATATTTATTACCAGTCTGCCAAATCTTACGAAATTTCACCGAGTGAAACGCGAAAAAGTTCACTGTCAGTTTTCCTTGTGTGTTCACGTTGCCGTCATAAAATATCGAAAAACACAGACGTTTTCCTTCGAGCGCGCGTGGATTACTTGAGCTTTCGTCCTAAGCGCGCGTGCGATCGTAAAACTATAGGGAGCCACCGTAAGATAGCGAATTAATAGAGTTTCTGTGTTAAACCGCTAAAAATGGTTTTGGAAACCGGATTGAATAATTATCGTCAACATATATCTCTCCTACCGTCTATAAAACCACAAAAGCTCATGGACAACGATATTGATCATTTACTACCCATTTTCTGAGATATACCTGAGGGCTCTGTTCTTGGCCTATTACTGTTTCTTTTGCATTTTAATTGTTTTACTAACTGTTCACAAAAGATGGGTTTTCGTCCAATAGTATTTATTGATCATGAAAATCTGTTTTACAATCATTAAACTTCAACAACCCGTTAGAAGAGCCTCGTCAGTGAATTAATTTTATATACACTATTGGCTGTGTGCTAATAAGCTATCACTAGCCAAGTTTCGTCGTTTTCCATCCACTTTGAAGAAAGCTTATGTGTAGTGTAACACTTACTACTGAGAAAAAACAGCTAAATCACGAAATCCCTTTAAGGTATAGTACTTGGCAATTTTGATGGATTGAAATTTATCCTGCAAAGGTCAAGCAACCTATATTACCAAAACGTAAAAGGCAACGTTAGCATCCTTTCCAAACTCCGCTACTATTTGAATTTGGATAATTTACTTAATTTCTATTACTCAACTCAGAAGATCAGTCTTAGCAAAAGCAATTGTTATGACCAAGGTAGTTTACATTTACATCTGCTACATGTATGTTGGGGGTAAATTTTTCAAGGTTCATGTGAATTTTTTCTGAATACCATCTCGAACGTGCGCCGAGAATAGACAAACCGGCGAAATTAGTTCCTTGCTTTTAAGCAATGTTTACTCTTCGGTCGGCTGAGTATTCTCATCCAGCCACAAAGCCTGGCAGTCCACGTGACTGGATAAAAGGTATCTTTCTGATAGCCTCTCGAAATATGCACAAGACTCCAAGCGTCCACACTACCGACGCCGGAGAAATTTTAAAACGCAACTTTATTTCTACGGTTTACGTTAGGCCTGCCGTCCACACTAATTCCTCATGAAAACGGAGCTTTCTCGAAAATGCTCTTCAAACCGGATGAATTTGAACACGCCGGCTTTTCGTTTTCGCGTGAACGGAAAACACCTTGAAGACGGAGCTTTTCGAAGACAATAGCGTCACGATAACCATGTGACTTCGAATCGAGTTTTCCTCAACACAAATCCAAAATGGCCGGTGATTGTTGCGTTTTTAAATTCCTACAGCGAAGTGTGGACGGAAAACATTTGATGCGTTTTAAATTCCTCCGGCTTAGTGTGGACGGGGCTTTACGCACTGATCGGCGGAATTAACCAAAAAGTTCACGCCCCAACGATCAAGCGAGCGAAGGGAGGTAAATTTGCATTTTTTGCTCGCTGTAACTCGTTCCCTCCATCGCAACTGAAATTTATACGCTCTAACAAGAGTATATACGAGCATGTTTCAAATAAATGCGTGCGAAATATATTTCTGGTGTCCCTCGAAGAAAATGACTTATCGTACTTCTATCTTCGTTATGGATTGATAGAAACCAATATTAATTGTTCATCCATCCAATCTATTAGGACGGGCTTGCGTTACTTATAAGATGAATAAATACTCAGAAAAGTCCAGTTCATTTTGATAATTATCCGAATTATAAGCTCGGCGACCCAAAAAGCTCCTCCGCTTTCTGAATATTCGAATAAAATGAGATGGACTTAGCATATGGCATGTTTTTGCCTGGTGGAAATGAGATGGTTTAATAGCAATATGCATTTCAATGCATTAAGTTCAGTCACGAATCAGTCAATTAATTCAAATGTTATCTTACGGACCTTTTGTGAATATTGCTGAACATCTCTTAAAATATACTTTGTATCAGGTAAAGCTAGGTAAGGTACTAAGACTGGCAGAATTGAGCTCATTTTAACGCAAGATTTAATGCGAATCTGCTGGCAGTATAACCTGTGCATTAGAGTATTTTTGATGTGCCGAGGTCGAGTTCTATTTTGTAATTATGACTCAAATCATTAGGATTGCTTCTTTAATGAAGTGGATCAAAGGGGCGCTTAAAATACTTTCATGTCGCTCAAGTAAGTTGTGTTTTTAAGTGTCATTGTCAGTAAGGACCAGGCAGGGTCCACGGATCGAGGTCGGCCGATTCCCTCCAAACT